GTGAGCAGACACATTTACACATGTTAGCTGCTGTGAAGGACCTGGGCATAAAGTGGATTCCTATTCTCCATGAGTTTATCATTAGCAAAAGACATCAAACTAGTTTAGGAAATTCGGAATCAAAGAAATTTCAAATCTCTCAGCCTCAGGGTTTTCCTCTGGTAAATGAGGGGACTGAAATAAGTCATTTACATTGTCATTCCTGCTTTACAGTTCATAAAATATTTTCACACTTTTTTTTCTTAATTGTTATTTAAAATCACCTTGTGAGTTTACTTAAAATCACCTGAGATGTTAAGCTACTAATCTGCAATTCATCAGTTAGTGGAGCCAGGGACTTGAACCAGATAGGACTGTCTCCAAACCTCTCATCTTGATGGAAAATCCAGTTACCATCTTACAAAAGTGGATTCTATCACCGACAACCTAAGATTTTGAGTGTTATGTGTACAGACTTTTCTGTAGCTATTTATTATAATGAGTGTAAATTGGACTAAAGCTACCACCATTCAAAAAGAGGTAATAAATCTATAGATGATTACGAGGAACTAATCTAGACATGTCATGAGTTGGAGAGCATTTTCTGATTTCTGCATGCATGATTGTGCTAAATGTCTGCAAGTTAATAGAAGAAATTCTTTTCTTGGCAGGACCCATCTTATCCTTTCCTATAAAATAAATTTGCTAGGATATTTAATGAGAAATTATCATTGTGGTTTGTTCAATATTTTTGATGTGATCTCAGTGCTTCAATTACTCTTTTTCTGAGATCTTATAGCTTCCTGTTTCTGGAGGCACTTTATAAACATGCAAGAAAGAGAGATGGTCTTCCTATGGAAAACTTTGGAGATTATTGCACAGGGGTGTGATAACAGGGGGCTTGAGGGATTTGTGGGACCCTTTTGTTATCCATCTGAAGATTTCACCAGGCTCCCTGTTTCATCCTCACTATACCTAAGTGGCAGAAGGACAAGCCTCTTCTCTCTCACTTCTACAGGCTCAGGTTCCATGGGTGCAGAACAACACCCTCAGTAGTGACAAAGTCTAGAGGTTTCTCTCCCCCTTGAACAGCTCTGGCACTAACCCAGCAGTAATGTGTTCTATGGGGAGGGAAGTGGGAGTATGGATGAGCAGGAAAAATGAGGTCAGCTTTCAGAGCAGTCAACCATCTCTGATGAGCTGACTAGACTGTGAACTGCAGATTATTTACTGCAGGGAGATGTCCACAACAGGAGACACTCAGTCTGGCCAGACCCTGGGTCCCTCCCCCAGGGCATCAGGATGACATGGTCACAACATAGGGGACACTAACTCATAGCCAGGTCCCAAATCTCTTTATCCCAGAGAGATTTCCTCTGGTCCCTCTGAATATTACCCAGGGGAAATGCAAGTATTGGTCCATACTGGAATGGGAAAAAGACAGTAAAATTTATCTGGGACCATCTCAAGTTGGTAGCTTGTATGAGTCATCTTTATGTCTAGCTTTAAGCCATACTAGCCACCTTTGCCCCAATTCCTTCTACATTCTGTCAGAGGCCATGCATCTCTCTACCTTTGCATTCACCTACCTGCCCCATAATGAGCAGTACAACTGCCTTCTCCTTCACTATGAGGAACACAGGCCAGGAACCTGGGTTTCTAGGCCAGGGTAGCAGCCCCACCCAACATCCAGCACAGTGCATGGTAATTGACTAGGGTTTAATAAATACTTGCTCTTATTCAAGATATTCTCTTTCCTTTGAGATAGGGGAAGAAGAGAAATAGAACTATTGCAAAAATAAAATAAATGCACCAGTAATCCTAATCTTCCTTTTAAGCAATATCTTCAGGATGTCCCCCTTCCTACAAATCTTTACCATACTTTGAATATTTTCAACAAAAGCACCAATTCCAAGTTCTTCCATCCTTGTTCATTAGCATCATTAGCACCAGTGTAGCAGCTATGTCTTCTGAGGAGCCCTTTATACATGCTCAAGGGCTGTGGGGTATAGAAGGTGAAATGTGAGTTGTTGTGTAACATGAGCACAACTGAGGGACGTGCTGAAATGTGACCTGGGTGGAAGAATGTTCACCTGAGCATTTCATTTATTCTAGCAAAAACCTGCACTCTCATAATCAATACTTGGTCATGTAAATATAATACATTCAGAGAGTAGGTAATATTATGCTAACAATAAATATCATGTTTTGGTAAATATACATGATGGCAAGGGAAAATGCACCCCATCTATTAGGTGAAAAGCAGTTCATAGAATGGAGCCTATTCATAATTTTACAAATGTGACTACATAAAACATTGGGAAGAAATGTACCCAATTATAACATCTGGATGACACTGAGTTTTAAAGTCTGTCTAAACACTTCATATAGTTTAAATTTTATTTGACAAAAAATATGTGTTACATGTATAATTTTAAAATATACTATTTAGAATATTTTAAATAAAAAAAGTTCCACACCACTCCTCAATAAAAAAGGAAGTCATATTCTGTTCCTGCCTACTGTAGTTGGGATCTTGAATGTCCCCCAAAAGCCCATGTGTTGAAGCTTTGGTCCCCAGGGTGGCACTCTTTGGAGAGGTTGAACCTTTAAGAGGTGTTGCCTAATGAGAGGTCTTTAGGTTCCTGGGGATGTGTCCTTGAGGAAGGTTGCTGAACTCTGGCCCCTTCCTCACTCTCTTCTGTTTCCTAACAATGAGGTGAGCAGTTTTGCTCTACCACATGCATCCATCATGATGTGCTGCCTCACCACAGGCCCAAGAGCAACAGGGCCAACCAATCATGCACTGAAATCCCCAAAACTGTGATCCAAAACAAACCTTTTCTCTTTGAAGTTGATCATCTCAGGTATCTGTTTTAGTGATGGAAATCTGGTTAACACATTCCCCCAGTTATTTTCAAAATTACATCATAAAGCCGCCTCCAGATATCATTGCTTCTTTATTGTATTTATATAAATTACCCAGAAAATTCCATCCAAAATCAAGTGACAGTTCCAACCCTAAAAGTCAAAAAAGGAGTTTTTTGTTTGTTTATTTATTTTGGTGTGAAATGATTCCTATCTGGAAAAGAGGTTGACAGGAGATATCTCAGGGGTAAGCTAGAAAAGCTGGAAGCAGATGGGGTGGAGAAACCCCCTGTGAGGCAAGGACTGGTGCTGGTTTCACAGGTCATTCAGTTTCTCTTAGCATCTTAACCCCCATCTGTGAAAAGAAGACCTAACATCTTCTCTGCCTACATCACATGCCTGCTCTAGGGCTAAATAAAATGATGCGTGTATTCTATTTTTGAAACTACAAGGTACCAAGTAAATAAAAAAAGTTTGGCAATCCAAGAATGCGGACTTCTTAGAAAAATAATCAGTGCTTCACATTTCTTTAAAGATATCAAAAAACACAATCTAAACCCCTCTCAAATACTCTTGAAATCACTGTGAATTTTATCAGCCACATCTGATTCATTTTGTTTCCATGTACCTTGGCCCACTGTAACAAAACTGTGTTATATGTACACTCAACTTGTTTATTTCTCTCTTGGGCATGTGGGCAGATTGACTTTCACAGCTTCCTCTGCAGGAAAGTGGGGCCAGGATACTGGATTCTTGCCATTGGAATATGGATGGAAGCAAGATATAGCCCTACCAAGGCCAGGCTGGGCCCCCCAAATCCCCAGGAGATCCTCCACATTTTCTTTCCTTGTTTCCAGATCTTACTGAAGATCTGGACTTAGAGGCTCCCAGAAGGTAGTGACATATTTGACAGAAGAAAACTGAGTCCCTGTATCAGTGGCAGGCTACTCACCCAACACCCAAGATGATGGGGAAAGTGAGAAATTACCTGAGATTTGTAGGATCACCTATGATGCCAGTTGCCTCCCTGGACTATTCTACCCCATGACCATGGCCACCTCTCCATACCAGAAACTGTCACCACTCTGGTTGCTTCCCACACAGTGGTTAGAGTGAACACAGAGCACATGAATTTATCCCAACTTTCACCCGAGAGAAAACCCACCCCCCCAAAAAAAAAAAATCAGCACAATCTTTTAAAATTCTCTGGCAGATTTAAGATCTGTTCTCATAATCTTATAGGGAAATGAGGAGGTTTGTGATAATATAACTAAGAGAAAAGAGGGGGGAAAACACCTTTGATAATTAAATCTCAACAAAATTTAAGATGAGTTGCAGATAGAAAAGGGTTACAGTCTGCCTTGGGTTCAATCCTCAGCATCACATACAAAAATAAACAAGTGAAATAAAGGTGTTGTGTCCAACTACAACTAAAAAATAAATATTAAAAAAAAGTAGAGAGATTAGGAAGGGACTCTACACCTCATTTAGAAGATGTAGATAATGGAAGTAGAGTCCTTCATATAGTTAATTCTTAATGATGTCCAGCTCTTTCCACAGGTCGCTTTAAAATCTTGATTTTAGGGACCTACCATATTCTTTGACTCAAAAATCTCACCCCTTGTCTTAATTTCTAAAATCTTTGTTAATAGCACAATGACAATCTCTTACCATATGCCAGATATTGAACCATATGTCTTACAAATGTAACCTTATTTAATTCTTACTACTGTTCTATTCACTCATGAGAGATCTGAGCCTGAATTAGGACAAACCCTTTATGCAAGGTCATACTGCTGGTAAGTATGACCTTGGACTCCAGTCCAAATATCTCTAGGTCCTATACTCTGAGTCACTGTTCCTTATAGTAAACCTGATTACTAGGAAGCCCTTAGCACTACGTGGACCAATAAGATCTCTTAGGAAGGAGACACTGAATGAGCAGAGAGAGGGTAAGAGTAGAAGGTTTAGAGGATACACTCTCAACACAGGCAGGCCTGGTTGGATCAGAACACTGTGGGGGGTCACATGAAAGCATCAGGCTCTGAGCAGTGGAGCTCCCAAAAGCAGAAGGGTAGATAAAGGAAGAGCTGCCCAATTCTCTACCTTGACTCTATCCAACCCTGCTTGTCCTTGCTCATAGAGAAACTTACCTGGTAAGGGTACAGGGTGACTCCATTGGTTCTTGAAAGGGACCAGGTGCCATCCAGGTATTGATGAGCCTGAATGGCCACCGAGTTAAGGATGTTCCCATTGCTGGGACTTGTGGCCATCTGGAGGCTGACCTTGGCCTGATGGGTGGGGGATCCACTCTTCTTTTCTGCCCCATTGCTGACCCCAAGGCTATTGGGCTTGCTGCTGTGCTTGTTGACAAGGCCTGTATAGTTGGAGGTGGCATATGGGGCAGGCACAAAGGCCCAATCCCTGGGCTGCTGGAGCCCACCCCCATGCCGTGACCCCACCAGAGTGGAGGCATTGGAGAGCGGTGGTGGTGATCCAGGTGAGGCATCATAGTGCTCACTGCCAGCTGCCTGCTCCAAAGTCAGCACCATCTGGATGGCCTCCTGCTTCAGCTGGTTCAGGTGTGTGGCACAAATGTCACAGCGGTTGTCTCGGTCATTCCAAGCCTTCCGGATGGTATTGGGGACCTGGAGCTTGTCATGAATCACAGCTGAGAAAGCAGGATCCTGGAGAACACATGAACAGAGAAAAAGGAGAGTCTGTAACATCAATTCAGATGTCTTGGTTGATGAGTCAAAGTCTAGTTGTACCCAAAGAATTTGATTGGCATCTATCCACCAGATGGGCAGAAGAGTCTACAGTTGACAAATACATTACGCAAATGTAAGAATTTTGTAGCGAAAACTTCAAAGGCATTACAAAACAAAATATGTTTTAAACATAATTTTTAAGTATTCTTACAGGCCAGTCAATAGGAACATTTCAGATTCACCTTATGTCCACTAAAGAATAATAGCCAACCTGGACCCTCCTTAGGTATTCAACAGAAGACATTATTGTCTGTCTAGATAGGATGGTGGAGGAGGGTGAATGTAGACATTCTGGACACTTACATTGTGAATCCATGGTTCCTATTATCCCTAGAAAGTTGGTAGTGGATGAAAGTGCTACTTGGGACCACAAACAGAGATTCTGTTAGAAAATCTTGATTTCATCAGCACCATATGCTAAATGTCATTGGAAGGAAACCAGACCAAAGCAGATTCTTAACCAGAGGTCAGTTGCCCCAGTAGCACAGCAAACCTCTGAAGATTAACTAGTATTTCTCATTCACCCTCTGTCTATATCCATGTATATGATTTCCTGACCCATTACAATAGTCCAAGATTCTTTCCCCACAAAATTCATCTAAAACCACTCTTCAAAAATCTTAGAGCTGCACAGTAGTGCACACTTTAGCCCTAGCTCCCCAGGAGGCTGAGGCAGAAGGATCACTTGAGCCCAGAAGTTTGAGACCAACCTGAACGATATAACAAGACCAATATGAAAATAAAAAATCTTTAGTTCAGAGACCACACTTAATAATACCTAAAAGAAATCAGAAAATGGATTTAATGAGGATTATGTCTCTAGTTTACTTTGCTTTAACCTTTACAGGAAAACAGAAACACACCAAAAACAACACTAGGAATGTTAATTGGGCATTGGAATAGTTCTGCTACTTGTGACCTTGGAGTTTGGTGTGACCTTGGACAAATTACTTAATCTCACTGATACTCTAATCTATTACAAAGGTCACAGCCTATCCTTGTTGGTAATGTCCTTCCAGCTCAATGACTCCAATAGGAGTCATATAGAATCCAATAGAGAATAGTACCTGCCTGTGTGGACAAAGTCATTATGGTAAGTTTTAGGTTGAATAGGCTGCTTGAACTTTTGAGATTCAACAGTTGTTAGAAATAATTGATGAGGCTCATCTCAAGTGTTATTTTCCTTTAGGACATTAGAAGAAAATATGCTCCTCTGAAATTTGCTGTTAATTTTTATGGAGCAGAAAATTCATCAGGGATGAATCGGGTGTATTGAGCTATGGGTGAGAGGGGTGGTGTGGGGCATCCAGAGTGGACAGGAAGATCATTGGTGGGAGGGTCCTTCTTAATTACGATCTATCTTGATTATGGGTTCCTGCATTTTGTTTTCCTTGTTTAACTACCTTGAACAGCTCCCCAGCATGCACTGATTAATTGATTAATAAATCAAGAGGCCTCTTTACACAGCCACAGCAAGGAGTGGCTCAGGAGGTAGAAACTCAAGACAGTCATATAAAATGATGGGAAACAATGGGAGGTCAAGGTTGATCACGTCTCAGTTGACAAAGAGATGCAAACCATATGAGGCTTGTCTGGTGACATCCTTCTCAATGACAGCTGCTTTGTCCAGACAGTCTCTAAGCCCAACTTAGTGCATGGGGGATCTAAAAGAGCTTCTAAGGAATCATTCTAGAACAAACTGTCACCTCAACTCCAAAAATTTGGATTATACCCATACTTTCTTTTTTTTTTTTAATTTTTTATTGTTGGCTGTTCAAAACATTACATAGTTCTTGATATATCATATTTCACAATTTGATTCAAGTGGGTTATGAGCTCCCATTTTTACCCCATATACAGATTGCAGAATCACATCAGTTACACATCCATTGATTTACATATTGCCATACTAGTGTCTGTTGTATTCTGCTGCCTTTCCTATCCTCTACTATCCCCCCTCCCCTCCCCTCCCCTCCCCTCCCCTCCCCTCTTCTCTCTCTGCTCCCTCTACTGACATTCGTTTGTCCCCCTTATATTATTTTTCCCCTTCCCCTCACTTCCTCTTGTATGTACTTTTGTATAACTCTGAGGGTCTCCTTCCATTTCCATGCATTTTCCCTTCTCTCTCCCTTTCCCTCCCACCTCTATACCCATACTTTCTTCATCACTAATCCAAGATTTTTTTACTTCAAGAGCCAAAGAGACATATCCATTAATACACTCATAATTTTTGCACAGAGATATAAGGTTTTATAGGAAATATTCATTTATTCAAAAAGAATTTATTTGGGTTTCCATATGTGCCAAGATATATTTTCTTGCTTTTTCACATAACATTACATGATGAGAATTTTCGTTATCAATAAATGCTATTTGAAAATGTTATTTGTAATGACCATATGGCATTTTATCTTTTGGTTGTTGCATAGTTCACTTATGTCTTCCCACATTCTACTGTGTAATTTAAGATAATATGACGGGACTGGGGTTGCGGTTCAGCGGCAGAGCACTCGCCTAGCACCTGCGAGGCCCTGGGTTCAATCCTCAGCACCACATAAAAATAAATAATTAAATAAAGGTATTGTGTCCAACTACAACTAAAAAATAAATATTAAAAAAAAGATAATGAGAAACAGGAGAATGGTATTTAAATGCAATCCATAACTGATGATATACGCTTTCAAGTCACCAAACTATTTGGTTTCAAGAAGCTTCAAATTAATTTCTTATTTAGAATATTTTTGTTAACCCAATCATATGAAAGAAATGCTACAGTAAAATGAAGCTATAAGTTATATCCACACATCACAGTTTATTTCAGATGTTAAATGCTTAGCCTTAGATTCTAGATTTCATTTTAACATGGAGACACATCCACTCTACAGAAACTGCAAAAGCCATCCTTAGTTCTGAGAATTCCTTTTCTCTTCTCTTCTTGTTTTTTTACTACTTTCCCTTGCAGCAGGTCTATCTTTATTGAACCTATTACTATTTGTAGCTCAACTTGCAACATTGAACAAATAGGTATATTGGCTTCAACTTGCCAGATACCTCACCAGACTGGGAATCTGAGAATACATAGAAGCAATTCCTGTCCTCTGTGAGTTTACCATCAGATTGACCAAGAAGGCTTCCTGGACTATCCCAATGCCACATCCCTTTGCTGTCACCTCTAGTCTAGTCTATAGCAACTCCCATTACCAATCCAAAGACACATCATGGAGCTCAATGTTCCCCCTTGGTTCACAAGATGTTAACAAGAACTCCAGTTCCCCAGGGCTCTCCTCCACTCACACATGTGCTAACCAAAGCCAGCCCTGTGAAACTCAACAAAACTATCCATGAGTACTACAGTTGAGCCTATTATCAATATGGTGGCCACAGACAGACAAGAAGGAGTCCAGTGTGGTCTCATTGTGGAGGAAAGCTGAGATTGATTATTTAATAAGTTTATAATTGCTGGTTGATGTCAAAAGAGGTGATCCCTAAGCTAAGCAACCCTCAATCTGAAACCCTATGTTAGTTCCTATCATCAAAAGTCTTCATTAAGTCAAGAGAGACATTTTATGAAAACTAAAATGCCTTTCAAGTGCTTGTCCACACATTATAAATATTTTAGTGCAACTCAAAACTTCAAAGAGGAGTGATCAACAGACAAAGCTTTCTGTAAGTGCTGAAATAAACAGGAGACTGCTTCAAGGAAAAGCAGTAATATACAAGGAAAAAAGAGAAAGAAAAGCATTGAGAGTCATGAATGATACACATGAACAGTGCTTTCCTGATACGGACCCAAAAAGGACGACAGTGGCCCAGGAGATGAGCTAAGGAAGCATCCCTGGTTAGCTGACACCAAAAGAAACCTGGACCAAGAGAAGTAAGCATCCAGTTTGGCAGGCTACCTTGCTAATGGGCCTCAAACATTTATACTGTCTAGTTCTGGTCCATTTTATGACGTTAGGAAATAGATGAAGCAGTGATGAACCACCCACAAGCTGAACCCCTATTTTTAAGGCCCATATGAAAATTGGCTCCTGGAACTTGGGAAACATTCTCATCTTAACTTTTTAAGTTTAGGGGGTCTGCATTCAAAATATTCTCATCTTTCAGGAAAATGTACAAAATCATTTTTGCCCCATCTCTCATGAATGGAATTTTAAAAGACATTCAGGAAACTGATAAAGTTCTTCAGAAGGAAGGTTAGGGATAAATGAAGTTAATGTTCAGACACCTAAATATGTCTAATTCATGAGAGCAAGGAAAATTCCATAAGATGTTTTTCTGATCCCACTATCTCCTGTACAGAGTATTTTAGGAAAATGGGGTCTCCTGTCACATCTCTCATAGTCTAGTGACTCATTTTCTAAATTGACTCCCATCTTCTGGCAGACTTCATTTCTCCACCAATTATATCCAAGCCCGTGGCTTCAACAGCCACCCATATCCTGGTGACTTGAAATTTTCCCTCTATCCCTGCCTGATCCATAAACCTTGAGCCAAAATAAACCTTTTCTCATTACAAGTTGATATTATCTCAGGTATTTGTTATCAGTGACAGAAAGTTGACTGACACAGCCACTTATTATACAATTATCATGAAATGAACTCTTTTGAAATGTTAGACTAAAACAGGTTTCCAACCATAACTGTTATACCTGCCTAAAAAGCCTCATGTGGTTTCCTCCTTTCCCTGATTCTTCCTTCAACTATTAGAATAGACTCTCTAGCCTCCATTAATCTATTAATCTTTTTCCTGAGTTCCCAAGAAAGTAACATTTCAATACAAAGGAATTTTTAAAAAATGTTTTAGCCTTCAGTACAGCTCATCAGAAACAAGACAAAGAGAAAGGAAAATTCCAGACCAGTACTACACTCTGGGTTCTGCAAGTTTGACTCCCCAGCAAGCAGGTATGGTGCTT